CCAGGACCCCCAAGTCCTTCTCGGCAGGGCTGCTCTCAATCCCTTCATCCCCCAACCTGTATTGATACCGGGGGTTGCACCGACCCCAGTGCAGGACCTTGCACTTGGCCTTGTTCAACCTCATGAGGTTCACACAGGCCCACCTCTCCAGCTTGTCCAGGTCCCTCTGGATGGCAACTCATCCCTCAGGTGTGTCAACTGCACCACTCAGCTTGGTGATGTTTGCAAACTTGCTGAGGGTGCACTTAATCCCACTGTTTATGTCCTTGATGAAGATACTAAACATTTCTTGGGAACATCTTTTCAAAAGTTCCAAAACTTGGACTGTTGAAAGTACTAGGAAAAGCTTAAGGCTCTGAGTGATATACAAGAACACTTAGCCTTGGGGCCTATTATGTTATTACCCCCTAGCTGTCTACTGTACCCACTGCCATCTATAAAAGTATTTGAGGGGTTTTTGTTGATTCCTGCACTGCCATGGTTGACACAGCAGCTTGAAATTCGTGTGTAGGAAGCTGCAGGACTTGAGGAGTTGATTGACAGTCAATACAAAAGACTGTGTAGCCAGGCAGGACAGATACCAGGAGTTAGTAACCTTTCCAGCTGCTTTAAGTGAAGCTGTCACAGCACAATTAGAGTGCTTAGATTGTATTTCTGAGTAGAAAGGGGCTCTAAAAAAGATGTAAAGTTGGAGAGGTAACAGCCACTTTCTACCCCTAATCTACTTTTCTTTTCCTCTTGTGTTCAACCAGAAAATGCTACTTTTATCTGTGACTCGAACTCCACTACTTAGGTATTCAGTGAAGCCCCTTTCCTCTTTACACACACATGACTTTTTTCTTTTGCAGAAATCCTTTTTTGGCCTTTCCCCCCCCGCCCCCGGAGAAGACATTCTAAAGATACACTGTAGTGAGAAGCAGTTTTCTGCTTCTTCTCCCAATTTTTTTTGGCAAACAAGATCAGTGTAAACTTGAGGGTATTGGTTAAGCTCAGTGATTGTTTATCATTGCTTTGAGTTATTCAGCTGATACAGATGCTGGGAGGCTACAGAACTGTTTTGCATATCCTCTCTATGCATCCATTTGACTTTTGAAGGCTAGGAAAAGGATGTCAAAAGGAAAAAGTTATTTTTCTGATGCTTTTTTCTGCTTTGCTTACCTGAGGAGAAATGGCGCATTTCTCAGGTAGATAAATTCTCTGGCTCCAGATCTATATGCAGATTTATAGTATAGTCTACTGATATTAGTGTAAAATTCTCCTTGGCGAGAAAGAATTCTACTTAGAGAAAACTTGAGCAAGAAATTTCCAGACTTACTTTTTTCTGTTTCTCAATTATAAAATACCACTTTCTCCAGGATAGAAGTAATGGTATATATAATGCTTACGCTTTATTTGAAACCTGGTATACTGCAGGAAGTGCTTAAATACAGATTTTGTATATAAATACAAAGATATTGCAAGTTTAAAATACTAGAATTAATTGTGAGATGTTTTTCACTGTTATTCCACAAAGGGGTGCAATAGTGACATGTTAGAGCAAAGACTAAGCAATTTTTAATGTTAATGATTATGACAAATGAAAAATGATGTTTTAAGCATCTTGCTCTTAAAATCACACTTTTTTGTTTTGAACTTACATGTAAACCTTCAGGGTTTTTTTTAACCGTTTATAAGAATGATTTTTTTTTTTTTTAAGAAACAGTGTATGCAAAATTTTAAAGCACTTAGGTCATTGAACTGGTGTTTTGCAGCTGAATCACTTATTTTTTTCAGTAAAGTGAGCCTCTTGTGTACTATCCTGTAAAAAACTTTTCACAAAGTTGTTGAAGAATGGTACCTGTGAATTCTGTTTCATCCGTTTTTAATCACCATGTCTCTCAGTTGCATCGTTTTGCTAACTACAGCTCAGTTGTTCTTTGTTTAAGAAGGCAGTTAACTGATGCAACTACTTTCACATAACTTCATTTCACAGAATCCAACTTTCTCTTCCTCTGTACCCACCCATTTTTAGTGTAACCCTGGTTTTGTGTAAAAAGTGGTGGGCACATGCTAAGAGTTTTTTAACAATCACCTAGAAAGTTTTCCTTGCCGCACATCTATATAAATTTGTTACTTTTAAGATATGCAATTGTTTCTGAAATCCTGTTACAGTATTTTTGTTTCTGCTATATTGACTTGGCAAGAGGCAATGTGTACGTTGACTGCTGAGTTACATGAATGTTTACTGGCCATCAAGCAAGCTAAATAACAATAACAGTTGAACTTCTGCTACAGCCTTCCCCTCATCTGCTGCATTCATTTGCACTTTCTTACTATCATGGATTGATCTTTTCTTGAGAAGGCTGTGCAGATATGTTTATCCTTGATACCTGTATCCCATGTCATCTTGGTTTGATACTGGGTAGTCTGTTTTAGGGTTGTTGTGGTTTGGGAAGTAAACCTGGCATGATGGCATAGGTTAGATTTCCTAGGGAAATCACAGAAAAATACAAGAACTTAAAGGAAAAGCTAGGCGTGGTTTAAAAAAAAAAATCCACAATGCTTTAAATGGTTACCAATTAGTGACAATCAAGGTTCTTTTTTAAGAAAAAATTTTGTAATCACTTTTTTGGGGGAAAAAGGAGGATTTGATTGAAATTCAGTTGCTTGGTTTCAGATCTAATCAGACAAGTTCTGAAAGAATCCAGACAGATGAAAACTGTAGTCAGCAGAAGCTGTAGTTAAGAGACTAAAATTGTACTTACTCACTGCTTTACATGCACATTGTCAAAGTGTTGGGTTTTTTTGTTTTTTTTTTTTTCCCCCTAAGGAAGTAGTTGAAGCCTGTTGTAGTTCAGAAGTTAGAAAAAAACTCACTTCACTGTTTGATTTCCTGCAAACCCGTTAGAAGCAATGTGATTTCACAGATGGACATGAAAAAACTCCTTAAATATTGAAGGAATAGAACACTGAAAGAATAAAATAGTAATGAAACAGTAAAATAAGGCAATAATATGTGGTTAGTTCACATCTCAGAACAGAAATACAATTTATAGTTTTGACTGTAGCATCTGATGGTTGAATTTGTCATTTGGAATTTTCAGAATGTGAACAAAAAATTATATCTTATTTTGGTTTTAATTGAATTGTAGTTTAAAAAAACAATCTCATCCTTAATTTTGTTCGCATTATGTGTAAACTTAGACATAGTGAATTGAGAATCCCTTGTTACCAGTTTAAAAAAAATTAAGGTAACAACTATACTTTGGGAAAGCTTGCTTTTTTTTTTCAACAAAAATAAAATAGGACACATGCTATAAATTTAAGCTTATGTTTGTTTTGCTTCTAAAGGTAAGGATGAAAAGTGGAGCTCTCTTGTTGAGTACAATGAATTCAAACAACTGCAACTTTCAACAGGCACAGTATTTGGGAAAACTTGAAAACAAACCCCAAAAAAACCCACCACTTCTTAGAAAACTTCACTTTTCTGCCTTACTACTAATTTTCCAGTCATGTTGCACGCTTGCTTTATCGTATAAAAAGCAAACTATACCTATGTTTTACATCACAAATTTCCATGGCTTCTGTATTTTTTAGAATTGTATGCTGTCAATTATATGGAATATACCTGGAACTTTTCTTTGTCTTCTGCTGTATACAGATAGCAAAACAGAGACCTGTCTTCCTTCTGCATGGAAGCATAGTACAGCTTGCTCTTGAATGCTTACTTTATCTGTGCTTTCTTGCTTGTATTTCTTCTTTAATCGGATATCAAACAAAGTGTTAATGATGGGGTTGTATGGAGTAGCTTTTGTATGCAAATGGTGCTTAATTATCTATGCTTTTATTTTCATCCCCCAAAATAAACATTTTAAGCTATCAAGTTAATCTCGGAGTAGTAACCTCTGTGTACTTGTGTGTGGGTGTATATCAAAAAAGATTTCTTTGTTTTGTCCCTTTTTGGTTTTTACTACTGACTTTGTGGTTTTACTGCTGTGTTTTCTAGTATTTTTTACTGTTCAGTAGAAATGTTCTGGAGAAGTTTTATGGATCTGAGACATACTTGTTTGAGACTATGCCTATGACTGGAGTCAGGGAAGAGAGAGGAGCATGTGTTAGGTTTTTTGTTTTTTTTTTTTAAATTCTTTTACAAGGCTTTTTTAGTCTTAATTTAGCATTTCAAAGGCCTAGCTGGATGATGTAGCTGAACCCATATGGCAACATGTTACTGCTGAAAGTGTGTGTCATGGTTCTTCGTGGTTATGTGCTGTTCCCACTTCCTGTGCTTGCGCTTCCGTTTTTCTTGATGCAGATTCAGCACACTGAACTGGCAGAAAACAAAACTAATCTCTCTCCATTTCTACACACCCCTTAAAAGTTTATATTGGCTTGGGGAAAGTTAGCAAGTTAAGTTTGTTTACTGCTAAATAGGCTTTTTTCTTTTTTTTTTTTCTTTTTACACTGTTAATCAAATAGGCTCTAGAGTTGGCACAAGTAAGAGGGTGGGACCATGTGGTCCATTAGCAGCTGTATTTTTTAATCAGGCAGCCTGACTGGGAGCTGCCTTAGTCGAACAGAAATGTGTATCTTTACCTTTTATTCCTCTTTTTTTTAATTCAGTGCCAAACACAAACTGATTGTTTCTTAGCTGCTGCTAAGGTTAAAGAAGACACTGTCTTTGCTTTAACATTTACACCCCCACCCTCCCCGTCCCGTCCCCAACCAGGTTCCTGGTATGCGCTAGAAATCATTTGGTGAATTATTGCCACAAAATTGAGCTGATTTGGTTTTGGGATTGTAGTCTTGTGATTGCAATTTTGCTAGTCTCAATTTTGAATATATATCTTGTTCTTCTAGATCCGATTCTATGAAGTAGTCCATTCCTTAAGAAAAGAGCTAAGTGATCTACAGATGAAAAAGGAGAGCCTAACAGAAGAACTAAGTGGGTACAAATCCCAACTGAAGTGTCTGACAGAGGTCTGTGCACCTTAATTATGTCAGTTAAGAAACTGTGTAAATATATATATAAAAAACACCCCCTCATTCTCCAAATCATTATTAATGTATAAGATATAAAAGCTTTTTTGCTGTATAAAAAATTACTGGGGAGGAGGAGGAGGGAGGGAGAGGGGAAACGTGCTACATATGTCCTTGCATAACAGCTACTTTTACATTATGGCTACCCTGTAAGATTTGCTCATGAGACTGTTCAGGATAGACTCTTAGCAGCTATCTTGTGCTTTCTGAGGGCAAGGTTCAAGGCAGGAAGGCTGAGACAGGAGATCCATCCAGCAGTAGTTGAAGATACAATGATGATTCAGTGTATAGTTTTTGAGATGGTGATGTCTTGGTAGTAATTTGCTTCAGCTTTTGTCTTAATGATATAAAAATGCATTTTTTTTAAGAATTCTTTGGAGTTGCATCTTCTCTGTTATGCTTGTCAACTTTTTATATTTTAATTTTCCTATTTATTTCTCTACTACAGAAAAAGATAATTTTATTTCAGGTAAGGTATAAATGCCAGAAGTAGAGAAACAAATTTGCTAAATATATTTAATTTTTATTTTCAAAGAGTAAAAGAGTTGAAACAGTATAAGGAGAATGTTGTTTTTAAGGTATTTATGAATATATACAGTATTCTTAGTATGTGTACACGTAGGATGATTTCTATTTTATCTTACTTTTGCATAAATCTGGAGTTGTGATAAGACAGTTTCAGCTACCCAGAGTATATTTATCCAAGTCATGGCTAGCAGGGACTTAAATGCTGCTGTCATTTTACTACTTCTGAAATTATTCTTTAGTTACCACCTTTTTTTTTTCCCCACAAAATTTACTTATGGAATAATGAGGTGTAAAGAGATACTAAGTGTACAGGATTATCTTGTGAAATTCATATTATTTTCATTTATCTTTTTGATTGAATTAGAAAAAGCGGTAAATAAAATTTGTGCATTTATGTGCTTCAGCATTATTTTGTGTCATCACCTCTGGTCATAACTGAGATTAATCCTGTTAACTTTGATTTACATGAGCATTTTCCTTCATTGTACATTTCATGTGCTCTAAAATTCTATGGGAGGATTTCAGCCTTCTGAGATTTGACTGACATCTGTGTTAATTTTTGCTGCAGCAATTTAATGGGATAGTAGATAACAATAATTAAAGTTGTGCCAGAGACAATTTTCTTGGTACATTGACCTTTCTTTAATATAGAAGCGCCTAATTTTGTTCTTTTTCTACCACACGGTGGCAGTATTCACCTTTCCCACTGATTGATTTTTCAAAGTTTGACGTTTACTGTGCTTTTCTTTTGATGCTGATGAGGAAGCACTAGAATGTTGTCTGTGTTGAATTGAGGTGGTTCTTTGAATGCTTATACCCTGTGTGCATAATCATACTTAAAATGAGAAACAATTAGAATGAATAGCTCAAAAAAAAAAAACCAGGGAAGAGATCCAAATGTTGGAATGTCACAAGAAAAAAAGGCTTACAGTTGTTAATAAAAATTATTCCTTAGGATTCTCAGGTTTCAGGTAAGACCACTTACTACACTTCTTCCATATGTACAAAAAAACCCCCAAACCCAAGTCTTCACCCTGTCTGTTATGCTTAGAGATGATGTGTTTTGGGTATTTAATGAAATGTGACCTGATATGAGGTATTTATGTATGGAGAGACTTAAGAGTCTCTGTATTTTGCTTCTGGCAAATTCAGATTTGACCTACTGACTTGATGGGTGTCACTGTAGCAAGGTGCCTCAGGCTGTTTCAGATAATAAGGTAAGAGAAGCATCATCAATACATAGAATCATAGAATCGTTTAGGTTGGAAAAGTCCTTTAAGGTCATCCAGTCCAACCATTAACCTAACATTACCAAGTCCACCACTAAACCAATTAAGGGTAGAGCAGCAATTTCATGTTTCCTGGCTTGGTGGCTGGATTATTTATAATGAAAGTAAAACTAGGAATCATTAAGGTTGGAAAGAACCTCTAAGATCATCAGTCCAATCATCAATCCAACACCACCATGTCCACTAAACCGTGTCCCAGAGTGCCACGTCTACCCATTTTTTAAACACCTCCAGGGATGGTGACTCCACCACCTCTCTGGATAATAATCATGGTCTTTCAAGAGCAATACCCCATGGCTCTTACTGATGTTCTTGCTCTTTTTGCAGTAGCTGTGATGTTGAAGACCATGGTGCTCCAAAGCCTGGGTCTTGTTGCTTTTGTAGTAATCAGGACAGTCTTAACAGGACAGTCCTGATTGCATGCTCTGCATCTTATTCTCATGAGGGTACTTTAGAATCTCTAATGTACTTAGTACACTAAAGGTAACATACCTAAGCATCTCTTGCAGTTTACAAAGAAGTGGTTTCAAGGTGTACTGTTGGGGTAACTTATTTATTTGAGCTCCTTCGATAAGGTCACATTTTATTGCAAGGAAATTTATCAGTAGGTAATAAATCACAGTTTCATTCAGAGTCTTATTTAAGCTCTTAGACTCTTCTTTTACTGCTTTTGTGGTATTCCAATCATTCTTTATTTCCAGTTACATGAAACATAGCTGCTGAAGTTCCTTGCCTAACTCACACTCTTCAAATCCTTCCTCTGGTTTCCTATCCAATATTCCTTAATTTGTAAGTTTTCTCCAACAGTTGCAGTATTTCTGTTCTCTGTGTGGTTTATCAACAAAGTGTCTGTTCTGGGTTTAAAACTAATTTAGGAAACTACTAATACAGATTTCTGAAATACAGTCATCACTGAAGTTAAGACAATCTTCCCCTCCCCCCACGAGCATAAACCACTTTCTACAATAAGCACTCCTTTTTTCTACTATTAGAGATAATTAAGGCTCTTGCTAAGGAGTTTCAGCATTGTTTTTTTCCTCTCTGTGGAACATGGAAAGGAGCTAAAATACATGCTTATCCCAGATCTTTCTATTAAGTCCTAATGGCTTGGGGGAGGAGGATTTTGCTGGTTTTTTTGGTTGTTCATGGCTAACAGACTAGGTTTAAGTAAGTTTTATACATGTAGATATTCATCCAGAAATAAAGTCATGAGAAATATGAGAGAATTAGGTATAGCCTCGTAAGTCTGTCTAGCCAAGAAAGAATTGAAAAAGTTTAAAGGAAAATCAAAACTTGTCTAATGTGTTAAGACAACTCTAGGAAAATTTAAATGTGAAATGAAATAAGACATTTCATTTAAATGAAATGAAGTAAGACAACCATTGCCTAACATCAGCTATGTTATTTTGTGACAGGATGGCTTTAGTCCTTTAATTTGGTCAAAGGAAATGAGCTCTAATTTTACTGTTCTTGTTTTGGAGTGTGAATGTAAGATACTTAGATTATTTTGTTTTCTCTGCTCATGAGCCTTTATATACTGTTTTGTGAGAAGACAAAGCAGCACAGTTTTATTCTCTGAATGTGTTTATGATGAGCTGATATGGCTTGAGAATCGATTATATAAAATCTGGTCTTCAAACCCACTAAATCTTTTTTTTGCTACATGCTGCCATTGCTTTGTTGTTTTTTTTTTTTTCTTAGGGGGGAAAAAAATCCTCATCAAACAAAAACCAAACAAAACTCGTTGTTGGCACAACAGATCTAGCCTGGCACCAAAGTGAGTGCAGTGGCTTGGTGTTGTGTTGTTTCAGCCAACAAGAGTTTATAAGCATCCAGCTGTACCTGCTAGGAAGCTTGGTTCTGTAAAAATTGAACTGTCATTGTAGCCTTGTAGAACTAGTTTTCTAAGACTTGACAAATCCACATGTTCTTTATCTCTAGGCAATTCATTAATTCATTTGTATTAGAAAAACTTTTATTTCTGATTCAGGACATAAAAGACATCTCTCAAGTGTTTGTCACCTGTATTTGTATGCTAGGTATATGAAAATATATTTTGCTTGACCAGAAAGGGCAGAAGGTTCTAAATGTTTATCGGTGTCTGTTAGCACTCATTTAATTCTTAGTATGGTGAGGAGTAAGACCACTAAAACTCTACAACTTCGTAACAAAATTCTCTTGTTGCAGCTCTGAGTTAGCACTTAATCAAAGCCTGCTGAATCTCTAACACAGACCTGGTAGGGTGGGGAGCTGCTCCTGACAACTGGTAGCAAAGAACAGTGTGTGAAGACTGGTTTCTAGCGCAGGATCATAATCTGATAAACACAGCTGCTGTCGATGGCTCTCTGTACCCAATTGTTGCATCTGGGATTTAGACCAGTGCCGTTCCCCTGATTCTACATGCAGCAGCAACAGACTGGGGGGAGGCAGTGGAACTGGTAAAAGTGATGTTCTTGTAACAGATCGGTCTGCACTGAAATACCAAATGTGTAGTACAGACTTGTTTCAATCCTTCGTTTACAGTGCTCAGTACTTCAAGTATAAATAATGTTAGCGCTACCACCTCTGGAGGTACAGATAGAGAAGAAAGTCCAGCTATAGTGTTGTATTACCAGGAGCTTCCCAGAAACAAAACCAGCTTCTGATGTGTGTGTTCCCATGCTGAACATCAGTGTACTATTTTCAGAATTGTTTGCTTCCAAAGTGGTTAGAACCTTCCCTCAAACAGATGTAATTTACTACTTGCACGTTTCTCTCAAGGCTGGGAGAGACTCTGAGAGAAATGCTGCTTTTCTTTGTAGCTTTAGAAGATTAAGTATTGCTTTCTTCTTCTGGCTATGAGTTTTTTGGCAATGTTTTCTGCAAATTCGGTCTTGCTACAGTTTTGTCAGGGCTTCCTTTAGTTATTTTTTTCTGTAAAGTTGCCTTCAGGACTTGCAGTCAAATTTATAGTATCACGGTTATCTAAAAGCTATGGTTTGCCTACAGACAAAGCTGGATATATGTAGGACAAAGATCTCTTCTAAGACCTCATCTCTGAATCAGGATTAGTAGCTGTCAGGTTTTGCTAGACAAACCTAACAATTTTCTCTGTGATAATGTTTCCCAGCTGGAAGAAAAATGTTTCTATAGTCTTCAGAGAAAGAACTAAGCTATTGCACTCAAAGGATCAGTTGGCGCTAGACGTATCTGAATGTTGTAAAATTGAGGCTACTGTTGCTGCTCCAGAAGGGCTGCGTTCCCTAAGATTTCTTTTGAAGTTTGCACATCTGTAATTAAAGACTGCACTGTAGAACCCTGCCCCAGCCCCCGACACCAATTCTTTCAAGCAGTGCTTTGATTACTTGGTCTTCACATCTCTCTGTAGAAAGGACCGATGAGGCCTCAGTCTTACATGAGATATGTGCCTTCTTTCCTTCATTATTGTTAATATTTATCTTGTTCAGGAAAAAAACTGCGAAGAAAAACATTCTACCAATACTTACTAGCTTGGGGCAGCAGTTTCCAAGACTCAAGAAAACTTACGTATCTATGAAAGTTCCCTCTTCTATCCAGTGTCTTTCTACCTCTTTTGGTATATAGCTATGACTCGTATAGACTGCTAGTTGTTGTTCAGGAGGATCAAATGGCTTAACTCTAGTCTCCAATGCAATGATCTCAAGGATCCTTTTCACCTGAGAATATTTCACTGAAGATTCTTGTCAGCTCAGATCCAGAGAGAAAGAGTTTTTTATTCCCCCCACTTTCTTTTGCAATAGAGGCACTTAGGCCAAAGCTTTTCTTTCTTACCTTTCTTGTAGAGCTTCCCTATTTCGGAAGTAGCTCAACATTTTTGTTTATAATTTTTAGTGGCAGATAGTGCCCCATCTACAGTCCTTGGCAGATTACCAAATTCATATCAATGTACTAGAAGAGATGTCTTATTCGTCTGGTTATGTATAACTTCTTCCTGATATTTGGGCAGTTGTATTCAAATAACTAATGTATTGACCAATAATTTTTGAATGCATACTATGTAAACAGATTGAAGCAAAATGTCATCTTTACTAAGTAGCAGCACCTCCTCCAAATAGCTTGAGGGAATTGGTTTTCACATCAAAACAGTATAGTAGCTTTACGTTTGCCTATGGCCTTTAGGTACCTTAGGATATGAACAGAAAGTGCTGGCTTGTGTAAGTGATCCTTCAAAGAAGAAGTTCTTTTAAATAAGCTTTTTAAAAGCAGGATCACTTTCTTCCACAGGCTTATCTGTAGACAGTGTGAAGAAGTCATGCTACTTCTGCTTGATTGGCTGATTTATCTTTTCCTTGCATTTCTGTTGTTTATCTTCTTATCCCCAAAGGCTTTTTGAAGGATCAACTAATCCCTACCATGTATTATGTGTCACTAGCTTTGTTCAAAAAGTATGTCACCCAGTTTTCATACTTGAAATTTAGGTAGGTGTTCATTTTAGTGACTGCTATAAGCTGCTATTCATTCCAGATGGAGGATAACAGTGAAGCTTAATATCATAAAACTGAAGTCCGTCATTAGATCTTTAGTTTCTCCACCAGTTTGAGTTTTAAAATGGTACAGATCAGGCAAGTTCAGAATCTTCTTGCTTGAAACATCCATCTGTTGGCAGTGTTTGTAAACCAAATAGAAGTGCTTCTGGGTAGGGACTGCTTCACATGCTCTGTAGAAACCACCTGTACTGGTTAATACTGGGTATCTTGGATAGCTCTGTTAACATTGCCTAAAGAAATTGTTTGCGTACCCATCTCTCACAGGACAGGTTTGTTTTAACCATCTCATCTGTCTAAGTTGCTACTCTGCACTAGCAAAAATTAGTAAGAAGCTGGAGAAAAGCCATGCGTTGTTGGCAGGATCATCACAGTCACGTTCCACGTGAGGAAGTAATGTTTGTCCTTTAATTTTTTTAAGGTGTGTAGACTTACTTAAGTTATTTTTATTTATTGGTATTATTTCCAGGACCTCATTCATGTCCTTGAAAGTGCTCTGTATCTTGATGCTTTCAAAAGCCCCCTTTTTGCTTCAGCAGGACAAAGCTATTCATGAAGACTTCCAAGCTCTTCAAGATAAATTGAAAGTTAAAGCTGTTCCATTGCAGAGATCTTAAAATCAGATCAGGGTATATGGACATTGTTATAAACTAAATTAACTTCATCATATGCAAAGCAAGGCTTATTCTTCCTAAGCACAGGCAGCTTGATTGTATGTCTTTAAGATGTATTGCTATAGAAGTCCAGAAGCTTGTGTATATGCTACCTGGAGTTATGCATACCATATAGGGGGTTTTGTGTGTTAGCCTATAGATTGTTTATTAGCTTGCCTTGTCATGTTTTTTTTCCTGTGATTGAAATACAACTTTGACACCTAAAAGATTAGGTAGTTGGAAAACAGTGACCTATGCAGTAGAATTAGTATTTTTTCAAGAATTGCAGTAAATCTTTAAAAAACAAACAAAATACAAACTCCCTTTCTTTAATTATCTGTTTAACAGTTTGATAGTTTACGTATGTCTTAGTATCACTTTTCAAAGTACAATTTAACTTCCCTCCCCTTCCGTGGAGTTATCATACTGTTACATGACATTAACAGCTGATTTGTTAAATAAAGTTCAAAACCTAGTTTAGGTCTCAGGTATTAGAAGGACCTGATTTTGTAGATATTTAACTGTTCTGTTGATTGGTGCTTAGAGCTGTTTGTGACGAATTTGTCCAGAGGTTAAGCAATTTAATTTTATGCCATTGGTAGTTGTCTTCTAGCTGCTAAATGTGTAATACTATAGGAGTTTCAATAGCCCACTCTGTGAAGGGCATATGAATTCCAGCATGGTGTTAGCAGCAGAATGGCACAGGATATTCGCAGAGGAATTGTATCCAAACTTAATCTTTCAAATTGCACTTAACTTTTAAGTGCCCTTACCATCATTTCCTGTTGCAAGATGACTCATGTTTGCACTGTGTAACAGGGTACTTGCACCTGTACATTACATATTTGAAACTCTAGCTAACTTGTAGGCAACACCTTTAAAAACATCTGACAGAGGCTTTAACATTAAGATAATGTCATCTTTATAAATGATGGCATGTTAATTGGTTTAAGAAGAAAGTGTTCTATAGTGTTAATTTGTTGAATGTATATCCATTAACAAGGGTAAACATAAAAATATGCCTTATATACTAGTATGTTAGGATGAATAACAATCATGTCTTTAGATGACGTGTTCTTAACAATATGCCATCTCAGTGTTGTGATTATGTGATTGTGATCTAATGTGATTTTAGTGCAAGTGAAAATGACTAGATTTGTGAAAGACAAAATGAAAATTTCTTATTTATCAAGAGAATAGTTACCATATATTTAGTAGCTCAGGGAGCTTTTCTGTAGTGTCTTACAAGCATTTGGGTGGGTCGGTTTTTTTTTTCAAGGCGGCATTCTGTCAGTCTTTCAGTTAATGGTGCCTGTGAATTTGGCAGTGTGTTCTTTGTGTCTTTCCATCCCTATCCTAGAGGATAATTCCTTGTGTTCATTCCTCCTAGGAAGCTATATTTAGGAGTCATCCACTCCATATATGTTGTTGTCCTAAACTTTTCTTGTGTATTAAAAACTAGCTAGACATACTTACTATCCTCTCTTAGAACTGTATAAAACATAGCTTTCAGTTTATTTTGAAAAATTATGCACTTAAACAATATCCCTCACTGCAAAATAAATTTAATTTGCAGCAGCTAAATGGTTGGTTCAGTAATCACATCTTAGGGCAGTCATTTGGTTTTGTGTTCACCTTCAATGAATAATATTGTGATGTCCATTTGGTATAACCACATGGAGTTATTGTTTATCAAGCATCCATTATCGAGCCTGCCATGTATCAACCATAGCAGGAAAAAACCAGACTCATCAGTATTCTGAGAAACAGAATATGGAAAAAATCTTGATGCCCAGGGGTCTTCTCAAATTTTTAACAAGCAACTCTTTTTGCTGTCCATCAGTTTTCCCTAGCATAGGTGAATGAGCATTATTTTTTGGTTGGTTTTGTGAAGAAATTACTAAGTAGTACAGCATTTAGGACAAGCAAGTAGGGTAGGCTTTGTGAAAATAAATACCTACTTTGTAGAAAAAATCTGAGAAATGGAGTCTAAATTGTGGATTAAGGTACAAAAGTCTGCTATTCCCATGGGGGTGGGAGGGAAGAGTATGATGATTAGAAAATCTGTTTATCTTTGAAAGGAATAACCAGTGTTTTAAAATACAAATACTTTCTGTGCATTCTCTTGCTTTGGTCCCTTTTTTCTAGTTCCCATAGTAGTCTCTCAAATATATGAGGAGGAAAAAGAAAGGAAAATGGAAATTACTGCTGATAGACCAGTAAATAAGCAACCTTTTTCTGGGTCGTGTTTTTGTTTTGTTTGGTTTTTCTTTTTCCTCCACCAAAGCTTTGGATGATATACAATCTGGGAGTGACTGGCTGAAATTTTTCATATAATGACAGAAGTTCCCAAACTTTCTGAATCATCAGTCCTCTTTCTTTTTTTCAAATGGACCAGCAAGTATCTTCACAAGGAAGCTTGTTTGAAAATGGTGTAAAGATGGTGTGACTTTTGTGCTCCTACTATAGGTTTGTAGACCCCGGGCTGTATATATGAGGGTTACTGGTCTTTGAAGTTGTGCTAATGGACAAAAGCGTTAGAAAAAATAGGTATGTTAATCAACTGTTTAGAACGATTAAAAAAAAAAGTTGAGTATCAGTATAGCTGGTTACTTTGTGATGTACGTTAGATTTCCCAATAATGAGACAAATGAAAATGCTGCCACTTGAATATTCATAAGAGGTCTTCACAAAACTTAGTCAGTGGTTGCTTTAAGTAAATACCAGTGTAGCTGTGATGATTTCAAAATGTCTTACCTTCTAGAGCTATGAAGAGGAGAGGAGGAATCGGTCAGAGCTTGAGGTTAGATGCCAGCGTTTAACACTGGAGCTAGCTGATACCAAGCAGATGATTCAGCGAGGAGATTACAGACAAGAGAACTATGATAAAGTAAAATGGTAGGTATCTCTATAGCTCAAGTGTTCTACTAACATACAAATGTTAATAGATAAACTTCAACCTTGATTGACTAGAGTTTTTAATTTGATTTCTGGCTTATGCACACCACAGATATTTTTCCTTACCTCAATCCACTAACGGTTCAATTATCTCCTGTAGTATATTGTAAGATGAACAACATTTTGAAATCTGATGCATCAAATTACCTTCCTAAAAGTTTATATTTAGGGATTTACTGTGTTTTCAGAAGAGCCTACCAGCCTTATTGCAACTGAAGAAGTGGGAGCTGTTGATGCCAAGCATCTTAGCACAAGTACTCTTTTTTTTTTTTTCCCCTTGTTTAAAAGCAATGATCTAACAAAAGGCCTTGTAGGCTCTACTGTGTGGTGGCTACACAGTGAATTAAGAGGGTAGGACCTTGGTAATTAATATCTAACAACTTAAGATATCCTTGTAACCATAAATTTGAAAGGACTGTTATGAGAACTCTTTGTCAGAGAATCTTAGGATTACTTTAGTGAATTGGTTTAATTGCAGGAAGTTCCAGTGTCTCTTCATTTTTAAAACACAGATTGTGGGCATTCAAACCATAGGCTAGAACTCTGTCTACTAAACAGTAATTGTAAAATAGTGACAAGGTACTTCTTATAAATACACTCATAGGTGTATACTTCACAGTCCAGCTCCCAAATGGCTTTTTCAGTGTGCTTGCCAGTACAAGAAATCTGGCCTTTGGCACATTTGTTGGGGAATGGATTAAAAAAATGGGGATTATGAATAGAAAACACCCTGTCAGCTCCTTAGTTGTTCATACTGAATGAACTCAGGCACAGTTACTGCCACAAATGATTATGCCACTGAGTCATTTGAAAGAGGTCTGTCTTCTGAATGACTGCTCACAGCTATGTCTACTAAAGCAACCTTGGAATCTACCTGGAAACTTGTTGCAAATAGGATGGATTGATGCTCTGGTTTGCTTCCCATGCGCAACTGCATCTTAATAAGTGGATTGTAATAACTTTCATGTGAATGGCCCCACTGTTTAACAGTGTACATTTAAAATAATCTTGAGTTGAAAAAGGCATGAATGAACGTGCCAAAACTATATTTGAGAGAGTAGGTTGTATTCATCTGGGTAGGCACAGACGAAGGGGAGGGGAGAGCACTGTTGGCATGACCTCATGAAGATATTTGGGAGCATTGCAGGAGTTAATCACTTCCAGGCTCGTTTCTGCCTTTAAAAATGCTATGTCAAATCTTCTAGTTCTGGTGTACTACAAGTTATCTCAGTTTTAAAGCTATGCTATGCTTAATATAAAACTGGTTAGCTTTTTTTCCAAACTGCAACCTCATACTGGCTCATTCATTTCACTGTTCTGACAGGGTCAGATAGAGTGGAGACATAGAGCTGCTTCTTTGTGCATAGGGAAAGCACTCTTATTCAGGACACCAACATCATTTTTACAGCTGTGTCGTATTTTAAACATGAGAAGAGTAGTACAACCCTCTCTGGTATCAAGGGACTGTATACAAGGGAGAGTAGCAACTCAGAACAAGTATACATTGCTTTCTGTTTGATTAGGAAGATGGGAATGAAGTTGCTTTAGTTTTTCATCCAACTTCAATGTCAGAAAAAGATTCAAGAGAATGTCATAGCAAATAGCGTCAAAAGCTTGATAAAGCTGAAAGGATGGACAAGGGTACTTACAGTTCATTGCTAAGAGAAGTGTATAGCCCAAAGTTACACTAAAGAAGTGTCCTGGTTTCGGCTGGGGTAGAGTTAATTTTCTTCCTAGCAGCAGGCATAGTGCTGTGTTTTGGATTTAGTAGGAGAAGAATGTTGATAACATGCTGATGTTTTTAGTTGTTGCTGAGTACTGCTTATGCTAGCCAAGGACTTTTTCAGCTTCCCATGCTCTGCCAGGCGCACAAGAAACTGGGAGGGGGCACAGCCAGGATAGTTGATGCAAACTGCCCAAAGGGCTATTCCATACCATATGACGTCATGCTCAGTATATAAACTGGGGGGGGGTGGCCAGGGAGCAGCAATCGCTGCTCGGGAACTGTCTGGGTATCGGTCGGCGGGTGGTGAGCAATTGCATTGTGCATCACTTGCTTCGTGTATCATTATTATTATTATCATTATTATACTGTTACTATTAGCATTACTATTTTACTTTATTTCAATTATTAAACTGTTCTTATCTCAACCCAGGAGTGTTTCTCAGTCTTACTCCTCCGATTCTCTCCCCCATCCCATCAGGGTAGGGGGAGTGAGCGAGCGGCTGCATGGTGCTTAGTTGCTGGCTGGGGCTAAACCACGACAGAAGAATAATCAGAGGAGGATGAAATAATTTAGGATAGGAATTTGGGATTATTGTATTATAATTTAGGATTATTTTTTAAATACTGAGAAACAAAGAAAATTCTTTCATATAATAAGATACCATTGCAGGTGTTAATAACTAAAAAAGGTAAGACTATCACTAATTTGCCTATGAATGACTGGTTGGAAGAAGTCAGTGTCATGAAGTGAAAGAAGGCTGAGAAATTACAAATGCACAGGAATCTTGTTCATTATACTTTATGCATCTAATAATTTCATTTTATTTTAACAGTGAACGTGATGTATTTGAACATGAATTGTCAGAACTCAGAAGAAAATATGAAATATTAGAGGTGTCACACAAAGCACAAGCTAAAGAAAGAAATGACTTATCAAAAGAGGTAAGCATAAAGTTCTTATTTTAGTAATTGTCTATTTCTTCACCTCAGGAATTTGATTCTTTGTCTACTCAACTCTGTCAGGATCACCTGTAGGATTTTGGAATAATTTAGATTAGAAAGGTCTTCAGGAGGCCAGCAGGTCCAACCCTCCCATGCAGTGCAGACCCAACTTTAGGTCAGGTTTCTTAGGGCTTTGTCAAGTTTTGAATTTCTCCAAGGATGGAGGTTCCACAGCCTTTCTGGACAATCTGTTCCAGTGTTTGTCCACCCTCTTTGTGAAAAAGTTTTTGTAAATTCTAATCAGAGTTGTTGCAGCTTTTTTCTGCTGCCTCTTGTCCTGTCACTATGCATTTCCAAGAGTCTGGCTCTTTCTATGCATTTCAGTTGGATAGGTGAAGATAACAGTAGGACTTTCCCCATCCAGATTTCTCTTCTGAGGGCTGAAAAAACATTTCTCTCAACCCCTTGTACATCATGTGCTACAGTCTATGACCATCTTGGTAGAGCTCTTCTGGTCGTGCTCTAGTATGTTAATATATTGTCTTTATGGGGAACTCAGAATGGGACATAGCACACCAAATACAGTCTCACAAGTACTGAACACAGGATAATAATTTTTTTCAACCTATTGTCTTCGTTGTTGCTTATATAGCCTAGTAGGCACTTGGCCTTCTTTGCTGTCAGGGCACACTTCTGGCTCATGTTTAGTTTGTTCAACAATTTGCCTATCCAGTCCATATTTTGCCAGTTCTCCTGTAGAGATGTTATGGGAGATGGCTGAAAGCTAAGCAGAAGTCCAAGTAAATGACATGGACAGCTGTCCCCGTCCATAGAGCCAACTTTCTTGTCAGTTTTGTTAGGCACAGTTTGGCCTTGGTAAATCCATGCTAGTTGTTTCCAGTCACCTTTTCTTCCATATGCATGGATATAGCTTCCAGGAGGATTTGCTTCATAATCTTTGCAGGGACTGAGATTAGATTTACCAACCCACAGTTCCCTGGGTGCTCCTCCTTGAAGGTGGATTCTGGTCATCAGAAGCCTTGCTCACTTGCTATGATCTTTCAAACAGCTAGCCAGCCTCACAGCAGCATTGGCTATTTCTCTCAACATTGGCCAAGTGCTTTTTGTTTTTCCATAGGCATTATGTACATGCTATTTTCCTAGGTCTCTAGCTTAGTCTTCCTTTGCTTCAGTCTTCCAAACTCTACCAACGAGCTCAGGAACCTAGGGGGCCCAAGGGCAAAATTTACCAGTGAAGGCTGAATGCTGTGAGTGTGCTCTATCCCTCAAAAGGTGGACAACTAGTTATAACATACTTTAGCTCTTTCTGACCAGTAGGGCAGAGCTACTGTATGGCTTATGTGGTGTTGTGTATGTTTTTTCTAGACATCAATAGAATATGTAGTTTTTCTTCTTTGTGACTCTACTAAAATAATAGTTCAGTTGCCCGAAGTTTCCTTCACTTCGCCTTTACAGAAGTTAGTTCTGTGTCAGGAATGGAGAGACTTCTATTTCGGACCTCTTCTTTCTATGATACTGCTTATTGACAAGAGGAATTCCAGTGCTGCTTCCATTTTGGGCAAGACTATCTAGTAGGGTTGATGGACTGTTTTTCTCAGTCTCCATTGTCTTTGAAAGTCTTTCTGCTGGGAAAATGAATAAATACCTCTTCAGGCACAGAGGGGTTCTCATCTTTGTTAGGGTTCCACTGAGTTCTGATCCAGCTAGGTCAGTCACTTCACTCAGACGTCAGTCATTGCCATTCTGGTAGCGCTAGTATTTCACAGGAGGATGTGTTTCTGCTGCTCCAAGGAAATTCAAGAGCCAGAGGCATGTCAGGTCAAGAGAAATGTCTCTTGCTGCTTCTCTCTTCATTAATTCATTCATTCAAGAGTCACAAATTGTGTTCAGTGATGGCTCCTTTACTGAGAATGTATGACAACATTTGGGTCAAGGGACTCGAAGAGAAGCATATGTAGAGAATGTTTCCAAGTCCACTGCCTTGATGTACAGGATTCTTGATGGTTTATATCAGTATAAGCTTCCATTACTCAGTATCCATTTTTACTATTTCTGCATCTAAATTGTTCATAGGGAGGATTGCTTCACTGAACCTCCAGGATTAATTATGCACCTTAAGTAAGCAAGTTAGAATAGAATCATCCAAAACTGTCGGAATCACTAAGGGGTTTTCCCCTTTATTGGATGTAGGTGTAACTTTGCAACAGCTGTTTGGGAGGGAGAAGAGGCTTTTACCAAATCTCAAGGAAGAAACTTTTTCAGGTTATATCGTCACTGACTAGTTGTCAGATGGTTTGTAGCTCAGTGCAACTTCGATGCAAAAATAAGACTATTTTTAAGCTGTGTTTCTGTACAGAAATCTTTCAAGCAGTCACCAAAAGAAATAGAGAAATAATTGATTGGTTGTTCTGAATTCATTTGTGAATTTATTTTTTAATGTGATATGAAAGGGGCACTGCATGAGAAGGTTGTTCTTGACTTCTGTATTGGTCCAGGAAAGAATCAAATGGAGGATCTTTGTGTTAACACTTTGGCAGCTGAATAAATGAGACCAATTACGCCTGAGAGAATTCAGGGGAGATTGTGTTCCTTAGTGTCTCTGTATAACAGTGTTACAGATAAAACAGTGGCTATAACTACCACATTAAAGATAGCACTCTGCCTAATTTTACAGGTAGCCATAAAGTTACTCTGAAACACTAGGGAAGAAACTGAGTTTCTATAAGAAAATATCTTTTATATTCTGCTCTTTTATATCAGTCTGAAGGCTTTGTTAGGCTGTTTATTCATCAGTGGTCTAGCATTGTAAGAGGACATCAGAATGCAGGTTTGTTCTCAGTGTATAAGAATGGCCAAAAAAGTATCATTATGTACATCAAGTTTGTATGTATTCATCAAGTACTGCAGTGTAGCAGCAACAGTGGCTTTTTTTCATTAACTTTATACTAAATTAATCTGAGAGGGAATGCTGATACAGTATCACAAGTTCTGGATTGGAAGAGCATAGAATTGTAAGTGTTTGCACGGTATTTATTCCAGGGGAGGAGGAGTTGGAGGGGTAGTAACTCCCAGGTTTCTTTCTTCTTGTAGTAATCCATGATGTCTGTGTTCACTGTGGATATACGTATAACCTGTTACTTGGACAGTTGTGTGTTTTTTCTTAAATAAAACAAAGTATAGGACAGGCATTTATACCTCACCCTGTGGTGTTCAGCAAGTGGGCAGATGGAGAGAAGCATGCCTTTTTTTTTTTTTTTCTTTTTTTGTACAAATTTTCAGCTGTTTAACTAGTTGCTCCATGTCTTTGATTCGAGTATCTCTGTTAAATAACCTTTAGTCCTTTTATGACTCAGGAAGGGTGAATTCTATCTAAATAAAACATGTACATGATGTCTTTATAGCTTTGGGGGACGTATTTCTGATGTTATTAATCTGCCATTCTTTGAACTTGGCATGTGACATCCTCAGGAGCTTAAACGGCAAAATTATTTAAGGTGATAAAACTGCATTTTGCTATCATGAGTAAGGAGTTGGGCCCCTCTGCACCAGTGCCGTTATGCTCTGTGGCTGTTCTCTCACAACGTTCACCTCGAACAGATGGAGTCTACTCTCTCCCACACCACTTTCTTCTTGGAGTAGTAAAGATGAGTGATCTGATGATTGGGAAGGCTGTTACAGAGACTCGCAAGATAGTCATGTTTCTACTTTGGCATCAGTTCAGCCTTCTGTAGCAACGCCATGCTAAATGAAAGTCAAAACAAGGCATGTATAACCCTCTTTGCCCTTGGTGCTAGCCTGGAACATGACTTTGTCCATGACAATCATGATATGCTTCAGCCCCAGATCTAGAAGTTCTAACATTTCTTTATGGAGCAATAGTCACTCTGGTGCCCTTAAACTTTTCACTTCTGTTTCTGTGAATGTTGTAGCTAGTATGATGGCAGGTTGGCACCAAGACTCAACATCAGTATTTCTGACATAGTACTGTTCAGTACTATCACTATTCAGTACTTCAGTACTATTTAGGTACTGAGGTAGATTAAGGGGCACTTTACCTCTTTTTCAGGTGCCAACTACCAGAAATAAATAATGAAAACTTGTAAAATATAATTTTATTTAAGTCTTTTTTTTCAGCATAAAGCTTCACCAACTTATGTTAAACGTAAGTGTAGATAGAGTTTTTTGGTTCAGGTGATTTCATAGGAGAGAGTTAAAATGAAATCACAAATATGTGTCCATAGGCTAAAGACTTATCTTGAAGTTCATGTTAAAGTGCTCTTTTTAATGCCTTTTATAGCTGGCAACCATACAACAGTCCCTCAACTTGTTGCAAAAAGATAAAGATTATCTTAATCGCCAGAACATGGAGCTTAGTGTTCGCTGTGCGCATGAAGAAGATCGTCTTGAAAGACTTCAGATTCAGCTAGAGGATGCCAAAAAAGCTAGGGAAGAAATGTATGAAAAATATGTTTCATCCAGGTAAGTTATTGTGTGATCAGTAGACAACTTAGTTAACTGTTTTCCCTTGTTTCTTGCACAAATCCTGGCTTATTAAAAAAAAATTACCTTTCAGAAAGCTAGTCCATATTTGTGTAACTAGAAACAGAACACTTCTGTTGGGTCTTAATGTGTATCAGGAAATTTTTTTTTAAACCTTTGATATAAGACCATAGCAGTGAAGATGTCAGTATTGAAAGTTTATGGCAACTATTCTCTTAGGTGTATATAGGAATTTACCGAGGTAACTGTAATTAATTACAAATGGGAGAAAGACTCTTTAAAGTGCGTATGTTACACATCATCCCTTGCCCCAAATGACCTTTGTTAAAAACAGAAGTATGTGAAAGACAGTCTACATGATTATTGCAGAATAAAATATATTTAATTTTCACAAATGTTTAAAGTAGGACATAGTATGTTTCATATCAGCTATTAGAGCTATCAATCTTTCATATCTCAAGTTTGAATACAGATGCCCTAAATGTAGCCTTGAGAAATAAATTGATCATTGTATGCCAGTCACAATGGTAAATAGTGTCAAATCCTTATGCTATTTGAACTGGTATAGATACATGTACATATGGGATGTTTAACAGGAAACACTACACTATTCAGCTACATGTCTTGCTACATATGTAATGCTACACTACAAAACTTCAAACCACATTTAGATTTTTCTCATTCAGAATTCAAGGTTATCCA